GAGTCTCGTGTAGGGCAGTCGCCTCCTTTCAGGGAGGATTCCATGCCAAGCCCTGCCTGTTCTTGGTCTCTCTCCAGGGCCTTCAAGCTTATTCTTAGGACTTCAAGTAACAAACTTCATGTTTTAGGGTTACAGAAAAATTGGGTGGCAAGGACAGAGTTCCCATATACCCCTTACTGCCTCCGCACCCCCACCCCCCAAACACACGGTTTCCCCTCTTAGCATCTTGCATTAGGGCGGTGCATTTGTTACGATTGAGTCAATAATGATACGGTATTATTAACTAACATCCTAGCTGGTTTTTCAGTTCACTCTTTGTACATTCTCTGCAAAATTGTTATTTTTTTTAATAATCTTGTCCAGACATCATATTTATTGCTTGTTGGAGGCCTAGTCCAGTGATACAGTTCCTCCAACATTATCAGAGGCAGGATCATCTCATACATTTATTTTTGACTCCTATATCAGTTTTGTGTGTGTGATTCTTTTTTTTTTTTTGGTTTCTGGAAACAGTTGACAGAAACCTTGTAAATTAAAGGGAGTTCCTGAAGAAGGTGATGGCAGAACGTCTAACAAGTCCATGGGTGGCTGTTAAGTCTTGCTGCCTTTTAGTGTTGTGAGTCACGCACCAGGGGATCCTATATACAATGCAGTTTATCAGCGTCTCTAGAAGTTAATCTCCAGAAAGTGGAAGCAAGAAAATGAACGTAATTTCAGGAGGTATTAATCTAGCACCAAGGCTGAGGTTGTCCAGAAACTCACAAAAAATATCAGAAGTCCTTTGGTTTAACCTTGTTTGCAGCTACTTCCTGCTTATCTGGAAGATGAAGCTGCAGATAAAATGAACACAGGTGATCTTGTATCTTGATTACCCACTACAAATTGCATCCTCCTTCTAGTTTTTTCCTTTTTTTCTTTTCATCTTCTTTCTGGATGCTCGTGAAAAAGAAGTAGGTCTGGATATTTTAAAACTCCTTTATTCTCCCCTTAAGCTCCGTGATAGATGTTCTGAATAGCAGCCCTCTGAGATGCCCCACAGCAGGATTCCTACAGAATCCTACAGAAGTCTTACGGAAGGCCAGGTGGCTAAGAATCAGCCAGCAGAAAGGTCTGAGGTACTTCATCTCCTGGTAAGCCAGGCATTGGGTGTGCTACCGTAAGAGCATCTGGCTTGGGTCCAGCTCAGGCGCCAGCACGAATGTCAGGGGGAGTTTATAGAGTCACAGCGGAGGGGACGGCACAGGCTGGGACGGCTGACGGGAGGAAGCTGGCCGGGGAGGCAGAGTCCGGGGCTCAGGCCTCTCCTGCCCCTCCTCGGAGCGCTGGGGGTCGATGGGTTCCTTGCCAGAGGATTCCGGTCAGGCAGGCGTGGGTCACCGGTGACGAGGAAGTCGTGTACTTGGCCATGTGTTGAGGGCCGTGGATAGTGGAGGACTGGGGGGAGAGAGAGAGAGAGCACAGAAGAGGAGCGTTCCGCGTGCAGGCAAGGGCACGCATATTGAGGCCCTGCCCGACAATGGAGGGGCCGGCGGTGTGAGAGGAAGCTGCGCCGTGCGGGCCACCTGGGAAGGGGGAGCCACACCAAGGTCTCTGAGGGGCCTCTTCAGAGCAGTTGGTGCGAGTGTGCAGGGGTCTTCAGGGGGTGATGCAAGCGGGTTTGCATTGGAGAGCGCTCACTCTGACAGCCTGGTGGGGAGTGGTTTGGAGGGGCCCCAGGGACAGTGGAGAAAGCCACGAGGGACACTGGATGAAGTCAGAAGGAAGGGTTTTGTGGGATGAGGTGGGGGTAGAGGGGAAGCTCGTTCCGGGATGACCCCCAGGTCTCAGGCTTGAATGATCGACGGTGGATGTTCTGGGGGCTGTTAATCAAGGTGAAGAAGCCTAAGTGAGGAGCATGCCGTGGGGGGCGGGGAGGAGAAAGAACACGAGTTTCCCTCCTGGAAACGATTTCTTTGATTCCCAGGCACGGAGCCGGCCTGCCTTTGTTGTCACGGGAGCCCTCGGCACCCAGTATCCTGCAGGAGAGGCACATAAAGGGGATGCCGTTTCTGAGCAAGAACCCGTCACTGGGCGTCAGCCTTAGACTGAAGGCAGGCTTTTGCCTGATCCTTGCAGGAGGTGACAGAAGCAAGGATCTTGAAAGGTTCTTAGCTTGGCAGGTGGACGAAGTTCAGGCCTGGGAGCCAACTTTCCAAAGTAGCGTGGGAAGGTCCTGTCCTGTTCACCCCAGAAATGATGGTGAGCTTGGCCGCGGAAGCTGAGTGGTTGTAAGGACCAGCCTCTAGCAGGTGGGTCTCGGCTTGGACTGGGTCCTGCACTCGCTCTGTCTCAAGATCGAGACTCCGATGGACTGTAGTCCGTTGTGGAGGTGGTCGTGCTTCGTGCTTGCCCCAGGTCGTTGTGAGGTCAGACTTGCACGTACAGCAGCATTGACTTTCAGGTCTTGTTTTGCACTGAGGAGTGGGCTTTCCGACCTCTCCCCTGCTCCCCTGGCACTGTGGTTCTGCATTGTGACTCACATCGTTAGTGTGACTAGCTTTTGACTAGATGTGGACCTGAACCATACCTTGGGTTTCCTTTTAATCTGTTTGACCCTAAGGTGCGTCTATTGTGGGTTACCTGCTCTGGATGGATTCTCAGAAAGGCGACTGGGAAGGAAGGCAGACCAGTGCGTGCGTGAGTGGTGTGAATGGACTGTAAGCTATTAGTGTGTGTGATGACCATGTGGGTGTGAGAGGAGTGTGTTTGTGGGCCATGTGCCTTGCACGCGTGTGAAGGTGTATAGCGTGTACGTGCACTCGTACCAGCGTGGGGGGTGGCGATGGCGTGGAGGAGGCAGGTAGAGATGATGGGTTTCCTCGTGTAAGCTTCTTTTAAGAAACCTGTCCAAAGCCAGAAAGCTCCCTCTCCTCTCTTTCGTCCTCCCTGCACCCCATGTTTCCTGACTGCTTCGGGGTTCTCTGCCCAGCAGTCTCCCTTCCGGAGGGGGAGAGATGGGCTGGGTGGAGGTAGCGGTGGGGACGGGGCACTTGTGTTCCGGCTCAGGTGTGGATCTCACTGGAGCAGGCCCTCCTGGTGTGTGGCAGGGGTCAGTGTTGGGGGGACAGTTCAGGCTCACCTGTAATGAGTGACCTTGCTAGGTCTTGAGGTCCTGGCTCTCACATGATGGCTGAGGGAACACAAGCCCCTGGAGATCTGAGTGCTCGGAGTTCAGGGCAGGAGCCTTCGGACAGGAAGGGCCCGGGACCGCGAGTATGGAAACTGCTGGAGCTTCTGTGATGTTGGGCAATCACAAACCCGGGCCTCGTGTTGTTCCGGAATGTGTCGGTCACGGACATGTCCGCAGGGCCCCAGCAGAGCTCAGAAGGGAGAGACCCCAACCATGTTTAAATCCTATCACACTCTTCGATCCAGGGGGCTTCATGTACCTGAGCACGTTGCCAGGTGCTTTGTCAACACGTGCACTGCTCCTGCACGCTGTGGTGGGGCCGTCCGCCTTGGGCCCAGATGGCTGCCGGGAACGTGCCTCAGGGTATGAGCGCACACACACTGGATCAATCTTGGGGGAAGTCCTTTGCAGTATTTCAGCTCTTGGAACCTTCCTTACTGGAGCTAGCCTTAGCTCCAAATTTCAGAAAGAACCTTCTCTTCCTGCGACCACAGGAAATACGGGATGACTATCCTCTTATCTTCTATTAATTCAGTCTTTGCTTAGGTAGACTTTTAAGTTATTTTGGGGCTGTTAATTCCTAGGACATCCCCCAGGCTATTTTATATCATTTGAATGTAAAAAGGAAAGGCAGACCCAATAGGTCAGTATGGAACGGGATGGCGTGTATGAAGAACTGATATCATACGTGCTTAAAAAACGTCCCCCGCTCTTTTCTTGTGTCATCCTACTAAGGAATGATCTCTAGATACTTGTGTACTTTTGATATAGCAATCCTACTTGTAGAAGTCCAACCTCCAGAGCTCCTTGGGTGAGCTGTGAGCTCTGTAGGTGATGGGGTCGTGTTGTTACCGGTGGTGTTTCCGTGTCGTTACTAGTGACAGAGGGTAGGCGTCTGTCAATAGGGGACCCATTGCAGGTAACGTGCCGACTTGTGTGCGTGGGCAGAGAAAAATGCCCAAGTTGTATTTAGAGCAAAAAACAAACAAAAACGAAAAAACCCAACATGCAGAACAAATGTGAAGAGTGAACCTTGTTTACATAAAATAAATTCCTCTGTGTCTATGAATATATCTGTCCATCAGCACACAAAAAGGTGTATGTCAAACTCTCGGTGGTGGTGGTGGGGGACTTTATTCTTTTGCTCTGTGTATTTCTGCTTTATTTGAATAGTGTACTGGGAGGAAGTATCCATATATTAAACATTAACCTGGATGTCATTTGGTTTTAAAAATAACTCAAAAGTTGTAGGAGATTAAAAATTTTTTAGAAGATTCAATTTTTAAATAAAATATAATTAGGGTGTTCCTTTCCGCCAATTGGGAGCTTAGTCAAGTGTGTGAGGTCTCTATAACATCCAGGGCTAACTCAGTGAAATGCCATTAATTGAAAAAAAGCATATATTCCCTTTTTTTGGGGTGGGGAATGCTTTAATATAAACAAAGCATATTCGTGTAAGAGATTTATACCTTCTCTTGTTTGATCTTTCCTGAAATCCCGTTTTACCGATGAGACAAAGGCAAAGTACCTCGCCCCAAAGACAGTGGTGGGAGATTGATCACAGCCAAGTCTTTCTGATTCAGGAGGCTGCTCGGTGAAACACTGGACTCCGTTGCATTTCTGATCAAGAGCAGGATGGGAGAGGAAGCAGTGGTTTGTGTTTTAGTTGCTTTTTATAAAGTTAAAAGTTGTCCTGGAACAAGACACTCCTTTGGCTCTCTCCTCCTCTGCAAAATAGGGAGCTTAACTGGATGTCCTCCTTCTGCTAACATCCTGTGACCAGGGACCCTTGCTGTTCTCCTCTCACTGAGTGCTTGCTTCCTCCCTGCAGTACGTCGGAAGCCTGGATGTGCCGAGGCCCAACAGCAGAGTGGAGATCGTGGCTGCCATGCGCCGGATCCGGGTGAGTGGCTGGAGAGGGCGCTGTGTGGAGTCAGAACCCCAGCATCTTCGCTGTCGGCCCATTAGATGGTGCTGGGGGTTCCAGAGTGGATGGTTGCACCCATGGCAAACCCCAGACCCCTCTCCCTATACTCTCCAGGGAAGCCGTTCTGAGTTGGGTGGTTGATCTTGATTAAAGGCCAAGGTTAAGATGGATGTGATGGTGGTGGGGGGTGGAAACTCTTCTCCCTCCCCCCCCTCCTGGCCTGTTGCTTCTGGAACGGAGATGCAGTACCTTGAGGATGTGTGGGGTCTGCCAGCGAGTAAGCGAGAATGGTGAAGGATCTTTGTTTATTCAGATTTTAGGGAAAATGTTTGATAATTAGTTGTTAACTGGCTCAAAACATTAAAAAAGTAAAGCAACTTATTGTGGTATATAAGATTGACTTGAATTATTAAGGACAAATTGTGGGATTTCAGCAAAATTTCTGTGGTCAGTTGCTTTAGGCTCTGTGTGTACGTTCTCTTCTGGCATTTTGGGGATCTTCTAGCAGAGTCTGGTAAACATTCCAGCCTTTTGCTTTCTGACTCTGGTACACAGAGCAGAGATTGAACCAGAATTAAGTTGTCTTCTGATCACAGTGAAGGAATTTGTCCATGTACTCTGTATTGAAATAGAAGCTACTTTAAAGTTGTACATTTCGAAGGTAGGTTTGGGATTGGTCGAATGGATTTGCAGGACTTTTTGGAGAAAATGGGTGTTGGAGGTGGCTGGATCGGTCATCCTGGATGCAGCCTGGTTTGGGCTCTTTGTCTCCAGAAGAATCTACTACCTAAATAGAAAACATAGCAGATGTTGGGAGCTTCAGTTGGCTTTTTGCCAATTTTACTTCCAGCCAATTCATCCCATTCACAGAAATCTCAGTTCAATGACATTAGTTTGGGAAGAAAATTAATATTGCTCCTCTTTCTCTGAGCGTCTCATTAGCTTATTAAGTAACTTATAACTTTTTTGGGGTGCCTGGGTGTCTCAGTCGGTTAGGTGTCTGACTCTTGATCTCAGCTCAGGTCTTGATCTCGGGGTCATGAATTCAAGCCCTGTGTTGGGCTCCATGCTGGATGTGGAGCCCACTTAAGAAAAACAAACAAACAAACAAACAAAAAATGTTTTCACTGCCTTGATCCTCCCAGTCCTTCAGCATTTTTTTTTTATTAAGTTGAATTTGTCGAAACTATTAAAAACAACAATGCCATTTTTCATGGATGTGGGAGTTGCTTTAAAGCCCTTTCACATGGGTTCGTTCAATGGTCACAGCAAGCTGGGGAGTGTGGGTCTTGTTACCCTCATTTTTGAGATTAAACTGAAGCTTGGAGGGGTCGTGAGGAGTCCCAGGGTCTAGGAAGTGGTGGGCATGTGGCCTGAGTGCAGTTCCCCACTTGGTGTCGAGAGACCATGTGAGATCCTTTGTCCCCGTGGCTTCTGGCTTGCCATTCAGTATATTCCCAGGTCTCTCCTCTTTTCTTCCTTCCTCTTTCTGCTCAGAGAGCACAGCGGCCTTGGGTAGGCGGTGTCGGGTGGGGCTTCCCCTTGCTGGGATGACCTACTGCTCTCACTGAGGTTGGCACCTCAGCAGCTATTAGGCCTGGACCTGGGGCTGGCCTGTCCTTGGGGTTTCACCAAAAATGTCCCTCTTTTCTTCATATTGGACTAAGACACAGGAAGTATGTTGTCATGAATACCCTTATCATAATTAGAGTCGTAGCTCTGTTAATATTAGCTGTCAGGAGTAATACTGCATGTCAGGTGCTTTGTTGGCCTTTTAGTTTAGAAATAATTTATTATCTATTATTTGCAACTACTCTAGACGAGATGAGGATATTATCACATTTTGTAGGTGAGGAAACAGAGTTTTGGGGAGGCTCAGTAAGTGGTTCTAGGTCAAGTTGCTATCAGGAGGTGGAGCTGGGACTCACACCCAGCACGGGACTGCACCTCTGTGACCGGCTCTTTGATGCGGATTTGGGTGATGCGTGCCCAGTTGTACCAAAGTGTTGGGATGTGGGACTTCCCTAGTGAGGGAGTCCACAGCAGAAACACCCCTTTGTAGATGGAATAGAGTGGACCTGTGCAGAAAACATCTCCTCAAAGCTGGGGTGTCCGGTAGGACTGGTCGTGCCCTGGGAGCTGGGGGCCTACAGGGCTGGAGAGGCCCCGTCTCCTCTGCCCTCGCCACCTGTTAGCCCACGTGACCCTGCCCCCAGGAGCTCCTGTGCCTGTGACCTGCTTCCAGTGCTTAATGAGCGAGCAGCTCATTCAGTTAGACGGAGAAATACATTGGCCAGAAAGCTGCTTGGCCTGGCTGGCCGGGCCCTTGTGTAGATGGGCCGCCCTAACAGCAAGCACTCTGGGTGTGTGTTTTACCCCAATTCACTGCTCGGTCCAGGCTGCTGTTTTCTCTGCTTCTCTCCCTTTCAAAAGAGCTGTTTTGGCTGTAATTATAGTTGTCGAGAACCAAGGCCTGGGATTTCTGTGTAAAGGACTGTTCCTGACTTTCTTTTATGTGGAATGGTGCCAGGCCAACGTTGGGCAGGACACTTTGGGGTTTGGGTGGCTGGATGCTCTTGCAGATCTGAAGACACAGGCCTCCCAGCATGGCCAGCGCAGAGGGCTGGTCCTCCGAGAAGCCGCTGTGATAAGGATCACGGTGTCTTACATCTGGAGGCCTTGCCAAGCCCTTTAGGTACTTGCCAGTCTCCCCGATCTCTCCGGTGCTCTGCACGGGACGGGGGATGGGGCAGTGTAGACAGAGGGAAGCCCACAGAAGGAGAAGCGACTGGCCTGAGGGGGTCCACGTTCATCCTTGGGGCTGGGGCCGCAGCAGGTATATGGGCCCCTCTTCCTTCCTCAGTTCCCCACTGTGGGGTCGACTCTGCACTGAATATGTGGACTTCATTGATTTGACTGTGTTCTTCATCTTCTCCCCACCACCCACCCCCTGCCCCCCATTTCTCATTTGTTCTCTGGCTGTATAGATCTGTATAGATTTTCTTTTAAAATTTGTTACCTGTTTTGAGCATTTTTTTTTCTTTTTCCTTTTATAATATACTTTCAAGATTTTTAAAATAATGTTTAAAAAACACAGCATTAAATGTGACCATTTTTAAATGTAGAGTTCAGTAGTGTCGTTCACATCGTGCCACAGATCTTTCTAAAACTTCTTCCTCTTGCAAAACAAACTCTGTATGAAACACCAGTTCCCTTTCCTTCTTCTCCCAGCCCTTGGCAACCACCTTTATGCTCTGGTTTCTATGATTTTTGGCTGCTTAGATACCTCATAAATGGAATCCTACTGTATTTGTCATCTTGTGACTGGCTTAATTCATTTAGCATAATATCCTGGAGGTTCATCTATGCTGTGGCATGTGACAGGATTTCCTTCCTTTATGAGACTGTGTAGTAGTCAATTGTATGTATGCAGTTAACACATTTTCTTTATTCATCTGTTGATGGACTTGGGTCTCTTCCTTTTGGCTGTTGTGAATAATGCCGCAATGAACACGAATGTGCAAATATCTCTTTGAGATCCTGCTTTGAATTCTTTTGGCTCTATACCCAGATGTGGGATGGCTGAATTATGTGGCAATTCTATTTTTAATGTTTCGTATTGTCTTCTATAATGGTTGTATCATTTAAAATTCTCATGTGCACACAAGGGTTTCAAGATTTTTTATTTTTTATTTATTTTTTTAGTAACATGTGCCTTCTTGGATCTTTAAATAGATGGGCTTTCCTTTTCTGGAAAGGATCTGTTGGGGTGGGAGCCACTAAGCACGGGGGGCGGGGTGGGTCTCGGGGGTGTCAGGAAGCAGAGCATACTGCTTCACAGAGGCTTCCTGGCTGAACTGCCCCCTGCCAGGGCATGGAGGTTCCTTGTACTTCTGAGGATGGGGCTTGGGGTTGTGAATGGCTGTAGCTTCAGTGTTACGCCGTCCTTGATAGGAGGTGGCACCCACGTGGATGACTCATCAGAACTTACTAGAAAACCTCTGAATGTAGCCCCCCAAGTAGAGCCCCTTCCGGCCTGCCCTGGTCCCCTTGTGTCCCTCTGCCTGGGCTTACAGACCTAGGGGTGTACAGAGTTGGCCTGCTCCTGGGGCTGGGTGTTTAATGAGAGCCTGAGACCTGGCAGGTGGCGGAGGAAGAAGCGAGGAGCAGGAGAGCCAGCCCCACTTGGGAAAGGGTGTTCAGTGCTTCCTTTTGCTCTGTCACTCGTGCGTTATTTAGAACTCCACCATTTACAACTTAAATCTGCTTTTGCGTCTGTTTGATCACCCTGTGTGTTCCTGGTTGCTCTCCTGTGTGAGAGGTAGGCGGATGGGGCAGAGGAGGAGGACGGGGACCCCTGGCTCATGGTCCACTGGCATGACATACGTGCATCAGCTCATTCCTCCATTCTGCAGATATTTCTTGAGTGCTGTATGCTTCACTGGCATCCGAAGATTCTGTTGGGTGCTGGTATTTGGCCACGGACAAGACAAGCACACGAATAACTGTTTAAGTTATTAGGCGAGGGGCAAGAAGTTAGGAAGTGTGTAACTGGAGGTCTAGCCCAGTTTGGGGAGACAGGGAGGCCTTGTGGGCTCCTGAGATGGAGCCCGTGATGAGCAGATGCTACAGCCGGGTGGCCCCCCAGCTGAGGATGTCGCAGCTCAGGGGACATGTCCCCTCACAGCTACCTCTGGGCCCCAAGTGCTTCACTTCCTGCCTGGCCGTCTCTGCAGACTCCGGGAATTTTTACTGAGTGACTTAAGTGGTTTTCCCAATTGAATAGGGTTGTTCCACACTTCAGGCGCATGGGGCCCCAGCACACGCTTCATCATTTGGAGGGACCATGATTGCAGGTCCTCCATTTGTCCGCTGGGTTTTCCCGAGGGGACAGTGATGCCCAAGGCCGCACAGGTGGAGGGCCTGGATCTTCGGAGGCCCAGCACCTTCCACTGCTGCAGAGTGAGGTCCTGGGG